GAGGGGTGAAATGGCCACACCCAATGCAGGATCGATGCTTTGAGCTCCACAAGTCAGTTTCCAAGATCCTTCTCTCCCCTCTGGCCAGTGTCCTTGGGACTAGGAAAGCAATCTAACTGGCCCTAAGGAAAACTACCCATTCTAATGAAACACTATTCTCATCAGTCCAAAGAGCTGAAGACACTAGTTCACAGTCCTGTTCGAGGCATTTTTTGAGAAATCTATGTTCAGAGAAATACAAGCATTACTTAGTTTCTGACTTGAAATTAATTTCTAGTGAGAAGGGATGGTGCAGGGCCTTGCCCCAAATGAGTTATGTCCTGAGTTACCAGATATTCTGGGAGGCACCCGATGCATCTTACACTTCATCTCTGTCCCTCTTCAAGTCGTCCTAGAGATCAACCTGATACAGCAGTAATAGCGAACATTACCGTTCCTCTGCTACGCGCCCAGAGTTCCTCAAAGCACTCATACATCTCATCTAATTATCACAATTCTAGAGGTAAATACTTCCATTCCCATTTACAGATGAAAAAACTGAAACACAGAGCAGTTGCTCCCTCCTTAGATAAACTGGATTGCTCCCAATGACCTGTGGTTAAAGCCCAAATTCCTGAATATTCACACCCCTAGTTACTCAAACCTTCCTTTCCAACTTTCCCTCAAACCCCCAGAACCCTGATCTCCCATGAAACACCTTCCCACTTTTGTGCTTGTCCTAAAAAACAGACGTGGCCCAAAGGCAGCCACATGTTGCATGCAAGTGTGGCTTTTGTCCAGCTTTAAATTTGGCAGAATTTACAAGTCAGATTTCACATTAAAAATCACAATTACAGCTACTGAGACTTCATTTAGAAATCATTAGATGTCATCAGAAATCTGAAGCTCTGCAGCCAGGCCTACGCTCTGATTAGAAACACTCAGCTGGAGCAGAGTAGTGATCGCCCTCCCTGGCCGGGGCCAAGCTCCATCCAGTTTTCAGCTGCCATTAGCCACACAAAGTATGACTCATGTGACTTGTATGCCTTGCTCATATTACTGACCTGATTCCTAAAGGCCTTTGCCACCTTGCCCTAAAACCATCTTTTACTTACTTAAATCTCACCTAACCACCAAGACCAAGCTCAAATGCCATCTCCTCTAATAAATATTTCCTAGTTTCTCCAATTCAATTTGGCCTCCAGCCTCTGAATTCCCTCAGCATTCTGATTATGTATTGCGACACATCACATCCGGGTCCCAGGCAGTTAGTGTGCACGTGCCTCACTAAGAACTATGTAGAAACTCTGAGTGAGGTAAGGTTAAATAACCAATTCTGTGATCTTAGGCGACAAAATGTCACAGCATCTAGGATTCTAGGATTTGAGATCCAGATAACCAAAGGAGAGAAGTGACTTGAACACACACACATGCTTTCATTCTCTTCATGTCCCTTCTGTCAGCCTTCTGCTTACAGAAAAATCATGGGACAACTTAATGGATGTGTTGTTTTTTTTTTTAATAGAAACCACATCACTTCCTTTGTTACAGCAATAATGAGGCAGTAATTCAAGAGGGTCCCAGAAAGCTTTTTCATCCACAAAGTAACAGAAAGAAAAACACCTTCATCACTCACGCCCTTGGTTAGCTTTTTCTTTTGATCTCTGTTCCCCCACCCACAATAGTATGTTGCTTCCAGAATGGGATTCTGCCTTCAAATCTTGTATGAGCCGGGAGATTAGTCTATCAGCTTCCCTTAAGAACCGAATGGAAGTCCCTAACTCAGCTGAGAAACCTGGACAAGTCTTCTTTGATTTCAGCCTCATCCCAAGGCCCATGAATGTTTTCTTTAAAAAGCTGCAGGCGAATGAGGTAGAAAGGGCAGAGACAAGAGATGGAAAACAGCAGAAGGGCAAAGAGGATGGCTCCCACAGCACTAATGGACAGCAGGCCTCCCAAGGCTGAAAATGCAAAAAGCAGCGTGACACCCACGTAGCTACGGGGAGTACATGCCTTCAGTTTCTTCTGCAACATGGGCCACAGGGCAAAAATCTGGATGGCAAAAGTCACCATGATGAAGGCATGCAGGGAACGGGGCAGGCGCGAGGCAAGGCAGACAGAAGCAAAGATGGCCATGTTCAAGGACAGCGTGCTGGATACAATGGCAGCATTGGCGCCATAGTCAAAGAAAATGAGGTGGCCCAAAAGCATGAAGACTGACATGGCATAGATGGTGTCAGTGCTGACAGACTCCGTCAGGGTCTTCAGCACTGGGGAAAAACCGTAGGTGAAAGTAATAAAAACCAGGGCGCTCTTCAAGTCAGCCCACCGGGTCCGCCCACTCTTCTTCCGTCCTTCACCTCCGTCAATGAGATCGAACAAAACATAGCCAATCAGTGAAGAGGCCAGGCCGGTCCCAAAGAGCCACTGGGGGGCCAGAAGGCCCTCATCCATATACCACCAGATGACCACAAACACACAGACGCTGCACAGCTGCTGTATCACCACGCTCGACTCGAACACCACGGCCCAGTACTGGTACTTCCGGGCGTGGATGTTTTTCCGGAGCTCTTCCAGGAAACGCCGGTCCACGTAGTTATCGGGAAACGGTTGTCGCTCGTACAGGACCTTCTGCCACTTGGCCTCCTCAGTGTCAGCTACAGGCTGGGTCCCCATTATCCTCTCCCTCAAACTCAGGCCAGCTCAGTCTCCCTCGCAGAAGTCCACATGCTTCTCGTTCCTTATAAAGTTCCGAAATAAGACCTCTCTGGAAATCCCATGCCGGGTGGTGGCTGACACTGCACCGACCTGCCTCGCTTTCAAAGGCGGCAACCCAGGCTAGGCCAAGTTCCTGGAAAAAGACACACCATGAACCTCGGAAAGCTGTGAACCGTTGGGAAGAATAGAGTTAAAGTCAAAGCAATCCACTTTATTGAAGTCTGAGCAACATGTGTGCGGTGGCCATTTTATAACCGTGGACATTCAACCTCTGTTCCAGATTTTAAGTTATAATCCCACAGATGATAACAGACGTCTGGTAGCTAGTACGTACTGAGTGCCTACTCCGCGCCAAGTGCCTCTGGAGCTTCTTTCATTTAATCCTCGCATGCTTTCAAGTTAGCATTAGCTCCACTTTAGTTAGTAAACAAGAAAAAACCCGAGATTCAAAAGTAACTTTAGCCCAAGTTAACAGTGATAAACACTGGAGCCAGATTCAAACCAATGTCTGACCCCAAAGCCTGGGCCTCATATCACGTCTCCCTCTAAACCAGTTAGCTCAGGGGTTCACGTATCCCCGAGGCTTCACCCAAAGCCCTCCCTGTCGCTGTATGCTTGTAGCTGCACTTAGTGCAAATTTCTAGGGATAGGATCCAGAGCTTTTATTTACGGAGTTCTCAAAGGCATGTGTTATTAAAAAAAAAAAAGAAAGAAAGAAAGAAAGAAAAGAAAGGGAAAAAAAAGAAAAGAAAGAAGGTACCAAGGACTCAAAGATTCTTAATCCATTAACTGAGGTAACATCCTTTAAAAAGTTATCACTCCACTTATAACGGAAAAACTCTTGGGAGGTTCGAAGACAGCGACCCCTTTTTCACAATGAAAACTTAAGAGTCAGAAATACTAGGGTCATGCTGCAAGTCTGCGAAGAAAATTCTTATTGCCGACCTTATTTCTTCCATAGAGCCCGCGCTAGGTTTTGCTTCACAAGCGAGACACCCTGGGAGCCCCCTCACTGCAGCAAGGACCCCGGCCCCAGGAGCTCACGGCTTCGCCTCGGCTGGAGGATCCGCGGCGCCGGAAAGGGCAACGCCCCTCCGTGGGGCCGGGGGTCGGGCAGGTGTCCCCGGGGGCGCCCCACTCCCCCTCCGGGGCCTTCCGCGCCCGCCGCCGGTGAGGATGGCGGAGGAGAAAGAGGCCCGCAAACACTGACTCCCGCTCGAAACCCACCTGCCTGCAATTCCTAGGGCTGCGCGGCCGGGAAGGGCGGCCGCCCGCCTCCTTCCCCATCCGGGGCGCCGGGGGTCGCGACGGCGGCCGAGCGCTTCCGGGTCCGCCACAGCCTCCGCGGCAAGAGCGCCCTTCCCCGGCTAGAGAGACTGCGAGGTCGCTGCTGCCCCCTCCTGGCTGCTCAGAGGACCTCCCGGCTCCCCTCTGAGGACGCACCGCTCAGAGTCCAGGAAAAAGCCAGTCCCCAACAGGATTTGGCGTCCGAACAACGCCAGGGGTAGAGGCTGGGCTGGTAACGAGAGATTACAAAGCCTACTTTTACTGAGCTCCGGTTACTAAGGCCCTCAACTAGGGACTTCCCATGCATCCGTGAATTCATTGGACACATACAGGTACTGTATTAGGTGCTCCTGATACAACAGTGAATGAAGACGACAAAAATCCCTGCTCTCCTGGAGCTTTGTGTCTTGTGCATTGACCTGTAAAGTGATGATAGATCTCTTCACAGAGGACAAAATTGAGTCTCAGAGAGGTTGTGATGCGTCCAAAGCCACACAGCTGAAAAATGGGTTCGTCAAGATTAACATCCAGTTGTCTGTAGCTTCCAAGTGTGGTTCTCTCCTCTTTGCTGCCTAGAAGGAATTGGGGTGGAGGACACTGTGGCTGAAAACAGCCGGAGACTGAACGGGAGGTTGCTGATATTCAGCTGACTTCGTAGAACTCTCAGAGGATGCATAAACAGATGGAAGTAATAAAGCAGCAAAGGGGTAGAGATAGTAGAATACAAGATATAGGGGGCACCAAAGTCAGAAAACGCGAATCCACTTACTAGCTGTGTGACTTGGCAAATCATAATGCCTGAGCTCTGATTCTCTTCGTCTGTAAAGTGGAGATAACACTATTTACTCTTGGAGACTTTACGGGAGACTCAAAAGACTCAAATATAAATCATAAAAAATGTTTTGGAAAGTGCTGGCATTTGTAGAGCTGCCATTAGCCGACTTTGGTCCTGGTTTTGATGGCAATGCTCAAACGCAATAAATTCTGCAAACCGATCTCTTTCCATTTCCCTCCAGGTTTCTGTGCCAAAATTTGACAAGATCCCTTGGCTTAGTGAGGCCAGCCGCAGCAACAAGCCACTGGTGCTCAGCCTTCCCAAAAGGTAACAGCCCAGCCCCTGAGGGCAAAGGTTTCAACAAAGTCCTCACGGAAGGTGATTGCTGGGGCAGTTCTCAGAGGGACAAATCTGATCGGTTGAGAAACCCAAATTGAAAGCTCTAAAACCAGAAATGGCCTGGGTTTCTCAGCCAAGAGTGGGCACTGAGGATAGTCTTGGCAGGGGGACGAGCTCTTAATTAACCTCCCTCTCTGCAACCATTACGCAGCGATACGGAAGAATTTTGCCCGTGGATAGCGTTCTCCACACACTTCCCTCCCCCTCGGCATCTTACTTTTTCTCCTCAGCTTTCGTTTGGAATTTTCTAATTTTAACCACCAAAAGTCTAGAACCATAAATTCCTGTCTTTGTAGAGTAGCAGCTGCCTGTGTAGCACTTTGAGACACTCTCCAATCTCACCAAGCCTGACACGTCCCAACAAACTGCTATGGAACATGTTTCTCTTTTTCGAAATAGGAGGTGCCTGTGTGTTAGCAGCATGTCAGTGCTGACACGCGGAATGAGTGGGCTTCCTCACTCCTCCTGCATTTTTGGTCCCTGGGTGTGGTGATATACCCAGCTCTGGGGAGGGGAAGGGGGCGTGTGAGGCAATGTGGGGCTGAATAGTGAACAGGAGCAATCAGAGGGAGAGTCAGGAGAGAGCAGGTCAGGAGGCAACTTCGAAAGCACTTTGTAGGTGAAGAGGGCCGGCTCTCTGGCACGTGCGACAGTTGGCTAGGAAGGTTGGAGTCTCGAAAGGAGTTTTTCCTCCTGTTGGTAAGGGTCACATACCTTCCAGCCCAGAGATCAGCGACTGCCATGAGGGACATTCTCCCCACATCCCCTGTTCAATAACACGTACCTTTGCTTTATCTGCTGCCCTTTTTCAAAGCCACACTCTCCACAAAGAAACAGATGTGTGTGTTTTCAGAGCACCTATGAAGTGCTTGTTCCGATCTGCTAGTTTTACTTTGTATCTAAACTCTAGCTCGCGTCTTGCTCATGTGAAATGGCCCGTGTTTGACATCTGATTAGGGTAGCAGTCCCCCATTTTCATCCCACCCTCCTCCTTGTTCTCGTTAGACCTGCCCCTGCAGCCAGAGGTAAAGCCTCCCCGGCGGGGCTCTGTCACCCCAGCCGTCTTAGTCCCTGACTATACAGTTTGGGGTACCTACAGGGGTAGGGGACAGGAAGGGGGCTTGAAAACGGCAGACCCAGAATACAGCTGTGTACCCCCAGGGCCTGTTCCCTTTCACAGCCGGGTCCTGGAGTGTCAGAAGGGCCAGACTATTGGCAGCCAGCTGGGAAGGGAAGGGTCAGTTTTCCCTCCGGCCAGCTAACCTCAAGCTAGTCACAGGGAAAAATGACCTAAGCGGTCAGCGAAGCTCTACTCATTTCTAAACTGGGAGTATTTGGGCAGCAATCTCAGCCCTTTGGAAGAGAAATGATGCTTCCCCACCTCCAAAGACGCTGACTGGACAACAGCGGTGTGGTGCCCTGAGCCTTCAGGAAGACAACAGGAATACAAAGTCTTTGAAAGGATGGTTGGTTTGAGTAGCACCAAACAATTCTTCAAGATCAGCAACTCTTTCTCTGGCTAAAGCCCTGGGTTCCAAGCTGTTTATTTCCAGCAAAACCCTCTTCTAAGATCTCGGTAAGAAAGTTACACATGTGCTTTAAGTATTAACCTACTTTGGGACGAGCAGTTCTAACATGGAACAGCCTAAAAAAGAGGCAGAAACGGCTAGCAAAATGTACTCTGTGCACCCCCATCCGCAAACTCCTGAAACGCACCTGCAGGGCTGCAGAGGGTGAGGCCCGGCTGCCGCACCAGTGCCTGACCTGAAGCCAAACTCATCATGAGTCTCGAGAGCCCTCAGGTCACACTGAGGCCCTACTTCTTTGAGATGGAGTGTTAAAGCAGTTCTAAGGTGTCTCTTGGTCAGCATTTGCATGTCATGCTCAAGCCCGGCTGTTCACAAACAAAAGGCAGCAAAGGAGCTGGGTCAGACCCACCTCCCCTGCTCTCCCAGGGCCCAGGGTGAGGAGAAATGAAACCATAAATGCCTCGGGGACCCCAAACTCCTTTCACGTGCCCGTGTTATAAATGAACAATGAACAATGAAATCTTTCCTCATTAGAGAGGAGAGGTGTTCCTGGCATTCTGAGTTTCCATTTCTGGAATGCCAGGGGCATGCACAGCGCTGCATATACAGGCAGTTTATGATGTGCAGGCCCCCTGCTGGCCTTGGCCTCTTACACTGTAATAAAATGAACCACAACAGCCGCGAGGCAGGTCACACCTGTGAAGAGAACAGATACTATCCCTGCAGCTTCACGGCTTCACCCCCTGACTAGAAAGAAAGAATGTTCCAGAGCGGTTGAAGGAAGAATATGTTCCACGGGAAGAAATGAGTGGATTCAGCATCCAGGGACACAGACTCCAAGGAAGCAGTCCAGGCATGAAAAAACCCTGCACTTCTCATGAATAACTTCTCCATAGGTCTTTTCAAGAAGGAGATCTGGGGGCATTTCACCCATTACACATCTGCTTTGCTGAACAATTTTTTAAAGCATTTCATTTCATTTCATAGAGAGAGCAAGTGTGAGTGGGGGAAAGGGGTAGAGGGAGAGAGAGAGAGAGAAAATCTTAAGCAGTCTTCATGCCCAGAGCAGAGCCGATGCAGGGCAGGATCCCAGAACCCGTGACCTGAGCCTAAATCAACAATTGGACACTTGGGACGCCTGGGTGGCTCAGTCGGTTAAGTGTCCAACTTTGGCTTAGGTAATGATGGGTCTGTGGGTTGAAGCCTCACATCAGGCTCTGTGCTGACAGCTCGGAGCCTGGAGCCTGCTTCAGATTCTGTGTCTCCCTCTCCCTCTGCCCCTCCACCACTTGCGCTCTGTCTCTCTCTCAAATGTAAATAAACATTAAAAACATTTTTTTAAAGAATTGGACACCCAACTGACTGAGCTACCCATATGCCCTGAACAATTTTTTTCTGCCTTAATTTGTACACTGTCTCTGACAATCCACAAGTGGCATTGGTTAGTTCAATACAAACAGGACAGAGAAGCCAGAGTGACTTAAAAGGGCAAGTCCATCTTTTAAAAGCTGCCAACTGGCCTGCACCCTTTAGGACTGGGATGGAAAACAACTTCTCAGGGAGTCCCTTGGTTTATCTCAGTTGGAAAGGAAAAAAAGTGTCCTTTATTCTTCAAGTTTCTTTTGGCTGGTCTGAGACTCCAATTGACATAAGACATATTAACAAGAGAAAATCAAACTTAATTTTTTACATTCAGGAACCCACATGAGATTCCAAAGACAGTCAGGCCAAATGAGGTATATATGTCATCCTGAACCAAGGAGAAGGAGGCAGGGGTTGGGGATTTCAAAGGGAAGAAAGACAATTCATAGGAAGAATGGAAAGAGTAAATGTTTAGTAAACAAATGTTTGAGGGGCCGTCCAGAAACCATGGGACACGGAGATGAATTTTAACAGACTTTGCCAAGTTCCTGCCTGTCTACCTCCCTTAGTTCATATTATACTGTAGGTATCTATGGTGACTGTGCTCTTCCTGGAGCAGGGTCTCTATCTAAACTCTTTTAGGCACTTAGGGGGAAAGTCAAAGTTTCTTCCTGAGTCTTTTGGGCCTTGACTGTTATCAGCTCAAAATAATCTACGGGCCAAAGTGGCACATTTTGGGGTTGCTCATTTGGGCCCCGGCATCTCTGAAACAACCAACGGCTTGACTCTTCAAACCAGAGACTATGATCTAACTAGCTCTTGTTTTGATTACTTCAGATCTCCTCACGCCTCTGCATTTCTGGTTTCATCTAAGAAGGATACGCATTTGCCTATTTTGTTTCAAGTTCCAGATGTCTTATCTAAGGTACTCAATTTTTTTTTAATTGAAAAGAAACCCTTAGTGGTTCTAGGATGACATAGAATGTAAATGTAAAGGCATTTCCTGTGTCCTTAGCAGATCGTAAGCCTGGAATGTCATCACTGTCCCATAGGTATTTGCCAAATGAAACAAATAAGCACCACCCACTGACCCCACCTTAAGTGAACCAGCACTGAGAATAAAAGTTACAATCATCAAAAAGCAGCGGCGGGGCGGGGGCAAATCCTATTGAGAAATATGCCCTGAGGCCTTCAGGACTTCTCAGCTGGTGTCCAGAGCCAGTCCCAGCGTCTGGAGCCTCTGACACTGTCCCATCACCGCCCTGGATCCCTCATGTGTCCCACCTACAACAACCTACACCCGTGGACTTTCATATTGTCCTCATGGCCCCTCCACCTCACAGAAATCAACTATGACCGGCTGCCAGGCGACACTCCTATATGCCACCACCCAGAGGGTTCCTATCTTAAAGATGCGGGTGAAGTCAGCGGCGCCCTGAGACCCAGGGAGAGAGCTCCCCTGGCGTCCCAACAGTTTCTCAGCTGAAAAGTACACGTACCCACGGGGCGGCTGCTAGCGTGCCAGGGCGGGATTCCTGAGCACTTGGCACAGTGCCCCACTCGTGGTGACGCGCACCGTGGTGACAGCTCCGCTCTGCGAGCCACCATTGGGTCGGCCCTCGAGTCAAGAGGTAGACAGCTGCTTACGGAGTTATGTGGTTGAGCGCCGATAGGGAGAGGAGTGAGTCAGATACGGCCTCCGCGAACGGTGCGTGGACGGCACAGGTGCACGGCCGCCAGCAGAGTTGGGCAAAGTCCCCGAGAGGCGAGGCGAGGCGAGGCGGTGGGAGGGAAAGGAGGGGTGAGCCGACAGCGCCAGGGAGTGGTTCCAGAGGAAGTGGCATCCGCATGCGATCTGGAAGGTACTTCCACAGTGGAGGGAAGCGCCCGGGGAGCAAAGACGCGGGGCCTGAGCGTGCAGAAGGGCTTGTAAACGTCAAGGAATCAGGCCGCAGCGGCGGGCTTGCAGGGAAGGGAACCAAGCAGACGGATGGGCCCAGCGGGAGGGCAGCGGGGCCCGGGGCGAGGAGCAGCGAGGAGACGTTGCAGGTTTTCGGCGCGGGACCGACAGGGACAGGGCTGTGCTTGAGAGTCACTGCACTAATCCCCCAACACGCTGGACAGGCATGTAGGTACGAGTGACCCCATGACATGCGCCGGGGGTTCTGAGCGGGGACAGGATCCACCCGACAATTGCTGCAGAACCGGCAAAAAGCCTTCCAGTCACTGTCTCTTTGAACCTCTGATGTAGACAGGCTTTCTCCAGCCACCGAGCGCCTCCTCATCCCACGTTTGCTCTGAGTCTCTTCCGAGGCTTTAAGACTCTAAGCCCCAGACCCGCTGGCCGGGAAAGGCGGGAGAGGAAGGCAGAGGAAGGCGTTGATAACGACCGGGGGCAGGTGGGAGGCCAATCTTCTGCAGGGCTTAGAATTTCGTGCCAGCAGTACTCAGAAGTGTCCACTAGAGGGCAGGCAAGAGCAGGCTGAGCCAAGAAGGCCGGTCTCGGGCAGCCCTGGGGGTTCACAAATCCATCACTCCTGCGGGGAAAGCAAAACGCCCCCGCTGCTCCCGCTCTCCTCCTGTGTCTGCGTGTGAAACACAGTTGCCAGTTGCCCCTACAGATTAGAAAGGCAAGTAGGTGTAGGGAAGACAAATTGGACCTTTTGCCGTTTTAGGGGTTTTGGCTGCGCCTGAGAGTTAAGTTGATAGGAGAAAAGCATATACATCTATTTAATACACGTTTTACGTGACACAGGAGACCTCACAAGGAAATGAAGACCCAAAGAAGTGGCAAAACCTGAATGCCTTGTGCTGTGTTGAACAGAGAGAGCCAAACGCGGGAAAGTACCTAAAATAGACGGGGAGGCTAAAGGAAGATAAAAATTATTTCAACGAGGTCTGTGTGCACAGGATTGTACAGAGTTGGCCACCACCACGGGGGGGGGGGGGACAGCACGTGTCCCCTGTGAGGTGAACCCGGGCTCAGCCCGCAGCTGCTCCTTTCTGGAAAGAAAGTATCTGGTGGGAGTGGAATGCCCTGTGGACACTCTATCGCTTCTTTTATCCTCTAAATCAGGGACCCGCCAGGAGGCTGCGGTGGCCTTACAGCCAACTAGGGGCCCTGGCCTCTGGGCACAGGTGCAAAGGTCCTGCCAACTTGCTCCCTTCTTCTTCCAGTCACAGGTCAAAGGGCAGAACTCTGAACATCCACACTCCAAGTGGCCTTCCTGCCCTGCCCAGGGGCAGTCCTGGAGCAGATGCCATGGTCTGTGTGTCTGGAGCAGTTCTCACTAAAGAGAGACAGAAAGGAAACAGAGGCTCAGAGACTGAAAGACCCGGGAAGAGGAAGACAAACAGCAAAACAGAAACAGAGGTAGGGAGGGGGACAAAATACCAGAAAAAGGAACCACAAGAGGAGAGGCAGAGCTAATAAAGAAGAAAAGTAGAAAATGAACACAAAGAAAGCAGCCTCCACACGGCCCCATGTACACATTCCCCGTGGAGCGGGGTCTTTACAAGGCACGACTTTCACCTGCCATTTGCAGGCATCCACTCGTGACTCCTCCTGGTGCCGTGGGCAGCCAAGCGTATCCCAGTAGCTGGACAACTGAGGCCGAGAGGTCCTTGCTCAGAGCTCCCCGCAAGGCAGAGCAGACGGATCGGGCCATCTGGGGACTCCAGCTGGGGTCCCCCTGGGACCCCTTGGCCTACTTGCTGGGCTGGGTGTCACCGAGCTCAAGTTCTTGCTTACCAATGGAGCAGAAAATGCCACCCCAGTCTCTCCTCGCCTACCCCCCCACTCCCTGTCTCCTCTCTTTGATCTGGGTTTGCTGTTCTAGCCTAATGAGTCCGAGTCCAGACAAGAGCAGTATCTCTTTTGCTTTTAGCGGACCTGTGACAAAAAGCCCCCGTTAAAGACACTGTAGCAGCAGAGACTCAGCTGGGAGAATGTATAGGAGGGCAACTTACGGTTTTCTTACCACCAAGGACTCGTTTGAGTGTTTCTTTCTCACTGAATCTTAAATTTTGAAAGCTTGTGATCACCACGGAAACTACTTTGCATACTCCTAGGTCCTTTTCCTCTTTATATTGATCAAGCACATGTAACAACAAAAAATGATTTTAAAAATGACACCACTGACCTGAAATAAAACCCAAAATTAGTAAGTCTGGACAGTAGGTGCACAGTTGTTGACAATATTTCATGTATGTTTGAAATGTTTCCTAGTCAACCATATGGGTGTTTTAAAAACCATATTCAGCTTTATTTTGGGGGCGCCTGGGTGGCTCAGTCAGTTGAGCGTCCCACTTCGGCTCAGGTCATGATCTCGCAGTCTGTGAGTTCGAGCCCCACGTCAGGCTCTGTGCTGACAGCTCAGAGCCTGGAGCCTGCTTCGGATTCTGTGTCTCCCTCTCTCTCTGACCCTCTCCCGCTCATGCTCTGTCTCTCTCTCTCTGTCAAAAATAAATAAACATTAAAAAATTAAAAAAAAACATATTCAGCTTTATTCTCTAATTGAGATGGCTGTTATTATCAGATAGCAGGAAAATGTGTAATTATCATAGGTTTTTTTTTAATATTGAAAATACCTCTCTGATCATCACCTTTTTCAAAGAGATATAGGAATCATTACGCCCTCATATGGATCCTAAGAGTCCACTTTCTCCCTGAGGAAAGATGGTCTTCATTTGACCCTTTATCTAAGGAAATTCTGACTTACTGAAACTAAATACATGGGCTGACAAGTCTCTTAACCCTTCTGGACCACAATTTCCTCACTGCATCCATTGAAAGAGTTGAACTAGAGGTGACCAATGAGGTGTCTCTCATTTAAGGCAAGAGCAGAAAGGAGAAAAGGAACAGAGGTGTCAAAAGGCAGGAAGGTTGGAGGCAAATTTGTCAGTGCTCCTCAGACATGCTTCTGATAGCTGTTTCTAAAATGACCATCGGGTGCTTACATTTTTGGTTTTTGTTATGTGGAGAGGTGTGTGTGTGTGTGTGTGTGTGTGTGTGTGTGTGTGTGTGTGTGTGACACACACAGAGAGAGGGAGAGAGAGAGAGGTGGAGAGAGGGAAAGGAAGGGAAACATACTTCCCTGTTTCTTTATCAAAGATTCAAGGAGGCCAAGGACTTGGGGGATGAGCCAGAGCTTAGGAAACTCACCAGATATTAACCTCCAATATCAGGATGTGTCCGGTTGTGAAATGGGAAGCGGGGCTTCTGGGCCCCAACCCAAGGGTGCTTCATTCCTCAGCCGGGCTACAGAAGGTTGCTCTCACTTTCTCATCACAGCTTCCATCTGCTATCCTGGGGACAGCTGCCTGGAAAATGAGAACCCCATTAACATTTCAGAGCTGCTTTTCTTGGTGGCTCTGACTCCACAGATGACATAACCAGGGGCCTGTGCTCCAAACCACCAGACAATTCACTCTCCAGTCCTGCTACTGCTGCTGAGCTGGCCTTAAGGAGACCAAGAGTGAGAAGCAGATGCTACAGAAGCTTCCAGGGCTAGGAAGGAAAGCAAGGCAGGAAGGAGGAAGCTGGGGCCTACAGGGCATGGAATCCCAAATTGTTTGGGATTCGAAAACAAGGAAGTTTTCGACTTCCTTGTACACACATATGTGTATGTATAGGTGATACTTTAAAACGCTTACAGTGATTCATCCATTCAACCAGCCTGTGTTGAATGCCTACTGTGTGCCAGATTCTGTGATGGGCTCTAGGGATGCAAAGATGTTTGACACATGTTTTTGCTTTTCAAGAACTCTCAGCCTGGTGGAGGAAATAAGCCTATTAAAAAAAAAATAAGCAGAAGAAAGAAAGAAAGAAAGAAAGAAAGAAAGACAGTACAAAATGCAACAAAAAAGCAAATATGCACCCAACTTGGAGTGCATGGGTGGCTCAGTCAGTTGAGTGTCCAACTCTTAATTTCGGCTCAGGTCATGATCTTATGGTTTGTGAGATCAAGTCCCGCGTCGGGCTCTGCACTGACAGCACGGAGCCTTCTTGGGATTCTCGCTCTCAAAATAAATTTTAAAACATTAAAAAAAAAAAAGCTATATCAAGTCTGTGACGGAGTCAGAAAGGCAAGCACCCAACTCAGATTAGGGTATGCAAAATGGTAAGAGGGTCAGGAGAAGGACTTTCTGAGAAAGCAACACCAAAGCTATGTCTTAATGGATGAGGAGCTAACAAGGCTGGGCAGGACAATATATAAACCATTTTGTCTTCAGATTCTAGGGGATGACAGTCATCATGGTTATGGAACTCTGCAGTCACATCTGCAGTCGTCATTAACCTGGCAAGACCCTGCTATGCACCTTCGAGATCTCTCAAATATGTTTGTTGCTTGATTTGCGATGAACTCTAATGTAGAAGCCAGAAGTCTGGAAAAGGGGAAGGAACGTCCTGTGGGAAAGACAAGAGTCTGCTTATAACGCCACCAAAAACAAACCTGCCCAAGGATTCTCCCTTTCCCATGCCCACCTGTGCATACTTCCTTAACCCTTTAAGTGCAAATGCCACTTCTTGAAGCCTTTCCCCGTTCCTGCTATGGGACGTGGTCTCTCTTTTCTGAAGGCCCAGGAGTATCATCGCTGCTTCTGTGATATCTAGCGCGTCCAACCTTGGATCACAGCCTCAGAGATGCGTCTGAGTCTCAGAACTCACAGGTGGGAGGGAGGGAAGGAGGAGCCCCCAGAGGTACCACCCCCAGGGTCTCAGGGAAGATCTGGCAGAAGGTGGAATCTGCCAGAAGCCCAGAAGTCTCTGTGTCTCTGGCCTCTCTCACTCCCCACTCCCCATACCAGACAGCAGTCCACTCTCAGCTAGCCGCAGTTCCCCAAACCAATCTGCTAGGTCATTCTTCCCTGCTGTTGTGGTGTTTCCCGCGTTGGAATGCCCTCCCCACACCTTGTTCACCCACCAACACCTGCCCAAGAATTGCCTGCTCCTTTAGCCCGTCTCAGCCCTTCCCTCTATGCCCCACCCCACCCCCATCCAGGTGAGCTCTATGGCTTTTTTCAGTTTCACTGTGGCCCCAACATATTTGTCACCACACCCTCCACACCGTGTGCTTCCTTGAACACAGTCTGCAGAGTGGTAAGCCCCTTGAAGTCAGAAGCTGTGTGTTATTTGCTTCAGGGACCCCGGTACCTAACGAATGGACAAATGAGTGAATTTGTGTTTTTCCCTGGCCTTCCTTAGGGCCAGAAAATGTCTTATTCATCTTTGTGGCCCCAGCCCAGCACCCTCCACAGGGTGGCCTCACAATAAATGTCTGTTGTTGAATGAATGAATCGAGTTGTTCACACTCCTGCTTTAACATACCAACCCACAACATTGTAATACTCAGTTGATTCTTTTTAAATGGCCTATAAAAATGAAATGTATTTTAAATATTTGTCAAAAGAATCCAACTTTGTCCCTAGTTTTCAGTCCTCAAACCTTCAGTAATAATGCCTTGTCCAAACGCTTTATGTCTCTCAGAGGACGAAGCTACTTGTGGACCAGTCCACTGAGGGTCTTAGGAGCGCACCCCAGGTACCCCCCTATGCTGCATAGGTGTATTCCTCCTCTTCCCATTTCCTATCCCTCCCGGCAGCAGGAAGGGGTCAGGGCACGGTGTACACACACGTACTAACAGGTCAACAGACAATCAAATGACAGGAAAGGGTGTTAATTCATAGTCATTTTCTGTTTGTCCCTGTGACCCCTCTCCCCCATATTATACACGTTCTATGAACCTGCCTCGTGACTCTGAGGTCAGTGTGAGCGAAAAAGGGTAAGCTGTGCCTATACTACTGTATGCAGGGGTCCTGAGGTCACTGACTAGTCTGTGGCTCACCCCCCTGCCTCAACTCTTTCTGAACCTACCAGCTGCAGCCAAGCCTGGACTCCGTGTCCACCCGGGATGGGGCTGAGACCAGAGACTCCCTCTCTGTTTTATGGAAGGAATAACTGTTACCTCTCTTACTCCTCCACCCCTTTCCCCTTCTTTGTTGCCCCAGATCCCCCCACCATTTCCTTACCTCTCTCTGTTTCTCTCTCTCCTCAGGCCAGGAGGGACAAGAGTAACCCCATGCTGATCAGAAGCAAGCAGCTGTGCTCCACATGTCAAGAAATAAAAATGGTAGGTCAGTGGGATGACAGAAGGAGCTGGGGCATCCCAGGGCACAGCAATACCCCCCCTTCCCCACCAGAGCCCAGTGATGCGAGACCATGCTTTTTGCAGGGAAGGCCTTGATAAGGGCTGCAAATAAGCACCTGTTGGCCCCGGGGGTACTATTACCTGACACAATATGATAAACCCTCCCCATTTTCAACAAACCAAAAGATAAATTAAGGCAGATGAGTCAGAGGGAAAGAGATGAGTTGAGTCACTTTACTTTGAGATCCTAAGGTAATCTCACACCTATAGTGGTTCAGGAGATTATGGAACTTCTCCCCCCTCAAATTTCCCCAACACAACACAACATAACACAACACAACACACACACATACACAATCTGCCTCTACCATTACAGTCATGAAAGAAGCAGCTTAATCTTTGGGTCTATCAGTTCAACCAGCACCTCAGCATAAAGGCTAAGGAGAGATTCTATAGTAGTTTCTAGCTAGTGGGAGGTGTCTGTAACTGGGGATGCAGAATGGTGGGGAATGAAGGAGTATTAAGAAAAGAAAGAGGAGGGGCGCCTGGGTGGCTCAGTCCATTAAGCATCTGACTCTTGATTTCGGCTCAGGTCATGATCTCATGGTGCGTGAGTTCCAGCCCTGAGTCAGGCTAACACGCTGACAGTGCAGATCCTGCTTGGGATTCTCCCTCTCCCTCTCTCTCTGCCCCTCCCCCCCCAACAAAAATAAACTTAAAAAATCTTTTTAATTAAAAAGAAAAGAAAGAGGACAGCAAGGGGAAATGGAGGACACAAGGACAAAGCCCTACCATCTGTCAGAGCTGCCGCAGAAAGAGGCCTGTGTCCGCACCGTGTCCACACGGATGCCATACAGGTCAGAGTTAGGACTTGGGTCTGTTTGAGGGTTAGGGTTAGGGCCAGTCCGGCTTGGGTCAAAGGTTAATTTTACTAAATGGTTAGGTTTAGGGTAGGAGTTGAGCAGGGTCTCAACAATTCTGATATCCGATGATTCTCCTTTGACTCTGGGCTGATGTGCAACAAGAGGAAGGGCCAGGAAGTGGAAGACAAACAGGTGACAGGTGACAGGCTCCTTCGACATGTTAATGGCGAAAGTGCTTTGACTACTGGGATATGAAAGAGACCGGCAGTTTTGTGAAATTTTTGTGTGGGATTCGGAAATGTAACTGAGCTACCAACAGAACTGTATCCGAATGTTACAATCTGTGTTCATGTTCTACTTCATGAGGATCACAGTGTTCAATGCTAGCACCATCAGAATCTGGGAGACTGGGATTGGGACTTCTCCTGGTTTTATTCCTGGAATCACTGTGTCCACATTTAGAATGCACTGACCCTGGGGCCCCAGCCAGCTTGGCCAGCTGGCTCACTTGGAACTTCGGCACTGTTCTCTTTCTCAAGACCTCTTTGACCTGTGCCCTTGCCCGGACCTGACTGGAGCAGAACCAAATGCTGTGGTTTTACCGTTTGCTGCAGATCCCCAAAAGAAGGACCTCAAACACGAAAGTCAGAACCAGTGCATGCACATCTGGTGGGAAACTATAGAAAGTTAGAAAATGAGCATGAAATATCCTTGCTTCACTATGTGCAATAGAGCCTCAACCTCCTCCTGGGGTTGGGGGTACTGCATAGCTGCTGGAGTCACTGAGACCCCCACCCTCCTTTCTCAGGAGGGGGTTGGAAGTAGTTGCTGGGGTAGATAGAGAAACAGTCCTAGAAATAGAAGCAACTTCCTTGACCTGATAAAGTGCGTCTCTGGAAGCCACAGCTAACGTCATACTCCATGAAGAAAGACTGGGTAGTTTCCCCTTAGATCAGGAACAAGACCAGGATGTCCGCTCTTGCTACTTCTGTTTAACGTGTATTGCATGTTCCAGTTAAGGCAGTTAAGACAAGAAAAAAAAAAATAATAAAAGGCAACCAGACTAGAAAGGAAGGCATAAAACTATATTTGCAAATGACATAATTTTATATACATAAAGTCCTAAGGGACCCACAAAAAACAATTAAAACTAATACATGAGTATAGCAGAGTTACAGGATACAAGATAGTATACAAAAATCAATTCTATTTCTATATATTAGCAATGAACAATTCAAAAATGAAATTAAGAAAACAATTCCATTTACAATAGCATCACAAAATTAAAATACTTAGGAATAAATTTAACAAAATAAATGCAAGACTTGTCCATCAGAAGCTATAAAATATCATACAAATAAATTTTAAAAGACCTAAACAAATGGAAAAAAAACCATAATTACAGACTGGAATGCTTGGCATTGTTAAGCTGGCAATACTCCCAAATTGGTCTACACGTTCAGTGCAATCGTTCTCAAAATCTCATACGAGTTTTTTGAAGAAACCAACAAGCAGATCTTAAAATTCGTATGGAAATGCAATAGATGCAGTATAATTAAGACAATCTTGAAAAAGAAGAACAAAGTTACAGGACTCACACTTCCTGATTTCAAAACTTACTATAAAGCTACAGTAATCAGGACTTTGTGGTACTGGCCTAAGGATAAACATATAGATCCGGGGGACAGAATTGAGAGTCCAGAAATAGAACCTTACGTTTTTGAACAGTTAAAAAAATGAACGAGAAAAAATCAAATTTAATTACATACATCCGGAGTCTCCATAAGAATTAGAATAAGAGGTCCCAAACAGCTAATTTTTAACAAAGGTGTCAAGACAATTTAATATAAATGTAATTTATGTTTACATAAATTAATGTAAATGGTACCTAGACAACTGTATATTCACATGCACAACAGTGAAGCTGTGCCCTTCCTCACATCATATACAAAAAATAACTACAAATGGATCAAAGACCTAATTGTAAGTGCTGGAACATAAAACTTCTAGAGGAAAACAGGTGTAAATCTTCATGACCTTGAATAAGGCAATGGTTTCTTAGATATGTTACCAAAAGCACAAATAACAACAAAAATACATAAATTCAACTTCATCAAGCTTAAAAACTTTTTTGCTGCAAAGAACACCATGAAGGACATGAAAACACAATGCACAGAATGGGAAAAAAAAGAATCCAAAATATACCCCAAAAAACCCTATTTACAACTCAACAATAAAAAACAAACATCCCGATTTCAAATTGGACAAGAAATTTCAAAAAACATTTCTCCAAAGAAGATATATAAATGGCCAATGAACACATGAAAAGATCCATAGCATCATTAGCCTTTAGGAAGATGCAATCAAAACCATAATGAGATATTATTTTATATCCACAAGAACAGCTGTAATAAAAAAGTGGACAACAGCAAGTGTTGACAAGGATATGGAGAAACTGAGACCCCCACACATGGCGGGAATGTAAAACAATGCAGCTGCTTTAGGAAACAGTTTGGCAATTCCTCAAACTGTAGAGTCACCATATGACCCACCAATTCCATACTAGATATATACACAAGAGAACTGACAACATATGTCCATACACAAATTTGTACAAGGATGTTCATAGCAGCGTTACTCATAATAGCCAAAAAATGAAAATACCTCAACGGTCTATCAACTGATAAATGCATAAACAAAATGTGATTCAATCCATACAATGGAATATTATTCAGCCATCAAAAGAAAGTACTTCTATATGCTACAACCTGGATAAAGCTTGAAAACATTTCGTTATGTACAAGAAACCAGGCAGTAAAGGCCACGTGTTATATTAATTTCATTATATGAAATGTCCAGCATTGGCAAATCTATAGAAATAGCAAACGGGTAATGGTTGCCAAAGACTTGAAGAATGAGTGCTAATGAGGACAGAGTTTCTGGGCTGATGAAAATATTCTGGAAGTAGATAGTGGCAATGGTTGTCCGACTTTGTGACACTACTAAAAACTACTGAGTTGTACGCTGAGATGGTGAATCTTATGGTGTCTGGATTTACAAAAAGATGAGCACTAGAAAAATATTTAAAAAAATAAAAGCATAAAGTGGATGAATACCGAAAACAGAAAAATCCTAAACAGGACCTGGCATGTACAAACTACTAATATACCTGCATGAGTACCCCACACCAGGAGCTCAACTATTTAGTGTGGAAGTAACGCCTACTGAAAGTTATGGTTGTGAGTCACCAGGGGTATCCGCCTAACTTTTATGTAAACTGTCTCTTGCCACTTCTCTGCTCCAAACAGCTGAGCTTCCCCTTAAAACATCTATTTTGTAGTCCTTCTGTTATCTGCGTTGTTCTCTAATACACGCTTTCAAGCCCCTTCAAAGTAGGATGTCAAGGTGAACATACTGTAGGAAGTTAGAGGCATTCTCTAACATATGTAAATTAACTGGTTTCAAAAGTCTATGTAATTCAGTTCATTGAAACAAATATGTATTGATTGCTTACCATGGGCCAGGTGCTTAGGCTATGAAGGCAAAATAAGTAAATAAAAGAATAAGACATAAGCCTTGCCTTTAAGGAGCCAACAGATAAACAAATAATGACAATAAAATGATGAATAGAAACAGAAATGGACCCGGTGGGCCGAGCATGGAAAGTGGATATCCAGGAAGTCTTCCAAGAAGAAGACCATGCAGGGTTTTCAAGACTGAATAGGAGTTGACCACATGACGCACTTCTTCTCAGGGACAAAATGGTAGCTTTGTTCTGGGGGAGCCCCTGTAGCCCACTCATGCATACAGTAGTACTAGCTGGATTTAGGGGCTTTTGAAAAGGGGTCATGCTAATCAGGAGAAGGTAGAGAGTTTCCTCCATATTTCTTTGGAATGGAGCCAACTTCAGAAGAAACTTGGAAAAAAGCAGTGTGTCTCCTTCATTCTCATCCCTTCTATGTATCTAGAAACCTCTTCTCAGGTTCTCACCGAAGTCTTTGCTGCCCTCACCACTCCCAGATGCTCCGGTTACCGGATCATTCCTTCTTCCCCCTCCCCTCACTTTCCCTCAACTAAAGAGTTACAACAATCTGCTTAAATACAGTAGGTGCTTGGCATTTCTATAGATTTAATATTCATATTTTTCTCTATTTGCAAGCACTTCTGAAGGTCCTTAATTTGCAGTTTTGTTGTGTCGTAAGTTTATTTATTTTTTTAGTTTTGAGAGAGAGAACGAACACAAGCAGGGGAGGTGCAGAGAGAGAGGGAGACACAAAACTGAAGCAGGCTCCAGGCTCTGGGCTGTCAGCACAGAGCGGGACATGGGGCTTGAACTCACAGACCTTGAGATCATGACCTGAGCTGAAGTTGGATGCTTAACCACTTTACCACTTAACCGCTTAACTGACTGAGCCACCAGGCACCCTTGCTCTGTCATGAATTTAAATCGCAAGTCACTCAATGAGTAGCCCAGCTGAACATCTGCACTCACATTTTGTTACTGTCTTTTCATTGTCATGGCTACAATACCTTTTGAGAAATAATGGGGGGAATATGATTCTCAGTGAAAGCCTGAGCCCCAAAAGAAAACCAATGTCTAGTGCTAGTAACAAACCTGGAAAAGTTCAAGAAAATAATGTCTTAATCGGGAATACTGTAACCGTATAATTTACTTTAGTCCTATGTGAAGGACACACTTAAAACTTTCCAGTGTGCTTCAAAAGGGGTTCATTCATTTCACAAATTTGATCAACAAATACTTCTTAAACAGTCACTGTGTTAGAACCTGGAAGTACAAAAACAGAGACATGTGGTGAGGCTGAAAGTCTATGAGGGAAACCAGACATCAAGCAAGTAAATACAATAAAAACCTTAGGAATATTCTGATAGAGGAAGCCTAGGGAACAGTGAGAATGGAAGGCAGAGGACTACCTAACAGTGGTCCGGGAGTCAGTGGTGTCTGAGAGGGGCTGACAGGTGCTCTGAGACCTGAAGGATATTGGAGGTGAGCTCCACGAAGAGAATGGGAGGGTTTACCAATCTTGAGGTTTCTAACTTTAAAAGCTGATAACCTGGGAAGAGCATAGACCTTATGAGTTGTGGGTAGGTGATCCCCTCTGGTTCATTCATGTCACAAAAGAATATGTGAATGATTCTAATACTAGATACAACTTGAGTTCGCTAAGGTGGTGCATTATTTATTTAAATTGGAATAGAGGTTGGGGCACTGCTCTAAATGAGATTTTCTTCCTCAGGTACAACCAAGAACTTTGATAATCCCTCATAATCTGAAGCTATCCTTTGAGAATTTAATGAGTCATAGGTAAGTCTAAGATTTCAATCTGGACATCATTTTATCAACGTTTATTTATTTTTGGGACAGAGAGAGACGGGGGAGGGGCAGAGAGAGAGGGAGACACAGAATCGGAAACAGGCTCCAGGCTCTGAGCCATCAGCCCAGAGCCCGACGCGGGGCTCGAACTCACAGACCGCGAGATCGTGACCTGGCTGAAGTCGGACGCTTAACCGACTGCGCCACCCAGGCGCCCCTGGACATCATTTTAATTCTTATTACATCAGTTTCGGGACACAGGACAGTGGATTGAGAAACATAGGAAGTAGAATGTTCAGGGAATGCTTAGAGAATAGGCTTCTTGACCGGTTTCATTTCCTGTTTAAACAAGATAGTTAGACCAAAATCGTTGTTTTCATCCTTTTGCTTGAACAACTATTGAAATTATGGTAGAAAGTATAATCTGCCTTTCCACCTCCCCAAGAACAGTACGAGGGGGAGGAAAGAAGATTCCTTTGGTAACTCAGGCAGAACTGAGTACACATTCTCCATGCAGATGACTTCTGTGTTGAGAAGATATGGGAGATCCCACATAATCTGTTCTCAGTCCAGGACATCCTCTGCTACTTTTTACTAAAAAAAAAAAAAAAAAAAAATTGCTGTCATCAGTTTGTGTGGTGGTCATTTGCTGCTTTCTTAACAAGGTCAAGTACATAAAAAATAAAATCCAGTCAGATTTTTGATGAGTTGGATTTCAGGGTGTTTTTTTTTTTTCTTCTGTATTCAAGCTCTCAGAAAGGGAAGAAAGACTCCGTTTTTACTTCATTAAAAAACTCAAACTGCAAACTCATCCTGGATAAGGCACCAATATAGGTAGACTTGCTTTACAGTCATAGTCAGATTTAATGTGACCAATCAAAAAAGTTATATGTGATCTAATGACAATCTTCAACTTTTTTTTCCCCATATAGAAGGAAATAATATGGGAAAACAAATAGTTGTGGGTTTTTTTGGTTTTTTTGTTTGTTTGTTTTTGGTAACCTTATGTTGGACAGCAGTAGATGCTATGATTCTTTTTATGAAATTCACTCCAAGCTGAGATGTGGACTCAGAGGCATGAAGCCCATGTCCTGGGTGCCTGGCCCTAAGAGATAGGGTCAGGGAGGAAATGGGTAGTGTATTTGAACTCGACAGGCTCCAGCACTGATAACATTGACCTACACTGACTGTATACTTTTAAAAGGCTCCTGTGAGACCATAATAAAAGGAATTCGACTAAATATTATTTATCAACTTTAAATGGAAAACTGAAATATCTAAAGTCTGAGATTTCTGAGCAAAAGTTTCACGCTCCAATGAAAGCATTTTTGAAATTTGTTGCCCCAGTTTATTTATCTTGCAAGTTTGGTATTTTAAATAAAGTCCCAAATTCCAGAATCATTAGTTGATTTTAAACAATTAGCTGATTTATTCTTTTTGAGCTAGACTAAGGGTTGAGCCAACCCTAAAATCATGTCAACACTAACCTGAAGTATCATTAGGTTCGTCATTTTTTTTTTCAATGTATTGAAGGAAAACAGACCACTTCTGTTTGAGATTTAGCTAGTGTGACTATAAAGTAAGATCCTGGTTCTGTCTGCAGCTTATTAAATTGGTCCTCACAGTTTATGAGTCTCAGGTAGAATTGTACTTACTGAAAAAATAGTTTTTAAAAAGTGACTTTAGGGTGCCTGGGTGGCTCAGTTGTTAAGCATCTGACTTTGGCTCAGGCCATGATCTCACAGTTCATGAGTTCAAGTCCCACATGGGATGAGCTTGAGTCCTGCTTTGAGTGAGCACCGCTTCTCTCTCTCTCTCTTTCATTCCCAAAAAAAAAGTGACTTAAATTGTAACCATTGTAAAAATTAAAGGATGTGTGTAAAATGGAAGGAATGAAGGAAAGGAATGCAAGAAAGAAGGAAGAGAGGGAAAAAGAAAGACAGAGAGGAAATATTAGTGGAGGGATATATATTTGTTGAATTATAGTGCAAATAAACCTTAAATTATTCAGTCTGACAAATACCACCTTCTGGTTTGCTCAACATGGATGATAGAAGGGATTTTTTTTTCTTAGTCCCACTGAATCCTCCAATGACAGTTGAGTAAAATAAACTGGCCAGATGGGCCATATTTTTGGTAACAAAGTAAAAATAATCTTGGAAAATCTTTGTAGAAATAGAAACCATGAAATGAGTGTAGAGACTTAGATATCCCATCAAAGTTTACAGATTTGTCAGCCTTTAGAAATTAAGCAATTTAATATAGAAATGGTTTGGGCTCATATGCGTTTTGGTCGAGGGTCACTTCCACAGCCTTAGCTGCCGGGAGAAATAGGATGTGGTGAAGACATTTTCTCTAAAATTGGAGGGTGAAATAGGGGAGGAGGATTAAAGAATGCATTTGTTGTGATGAGCACCAGGTGATTAAAATAAGAACTTTAAAAAAAAAACCTAAAAAAACTGTAAAAATCTGTATAAAATTTTACTTAATCGAAGTTGGATTAACAACAAAGTGTTTCCAAATGGTTTCTGTTTTGCTTTAGTAACACTCAAAAGTAGAGAAATGAGTCAAACAGAATTATATTGATGGGAATAAAAAGGGATTTTTAAAGCAAAAATACATGAAATGAAATGAAATGAAATGAAATGAAATGAAATGAAATGAAATGAGATGAGATGAGATGAAATGAGATGAAATGAAATGAAATACGAAGGTTCTAACCAAAATATTCTGCTTTGCACTTGGAGGGTAGATTACTGATCTGGAAGAGTTGTTATGTTTTCCTGGACACTGGAGGATTCTTGGTTCCTTCTGTTTTTAGACCATACATGTTCTGACAGTGAATAAGATATTTTTTCAATGAAGTTTTTATCAAAATCCATAAAGCAAGAAGAACCTGAGATGCAGCAGCCTCTGGTCCAGTCATCTCGCACTGCGGCCAAGCGGTCTAAGCGCCAGGTTAACAGGTGCCAGACTCAAGACAGCATCTGTGTTTTAAAATGTATAAAGGTACATTCCTTTCCACTGAGCTTTGGTCACATAACTAATGTGTTTTCTTGCTTCTTCCAAACAGAATGATGAGTCTTCCTCCACCAAAAGCCAAGACTGAACCCAAACATTCCTGTAATGACATCTCAACAGGTTTGCATTTTTAGAGTACTTGTATTGGGGGACATACAACCCCCACAGTAGTAGGATGAAAAGTTTAATCCCTAAAATAGGTTCTAAATTATCTGAACACGTTCCCACTGTCTGCCCCTTTCTCTTTTCACATGCTGCTTATGGCCTGTTTCACATGCTGCTTATGGCCTTGACATGCTCCCTTCACACCAGCCCACCTGTCCCCTCCCCAGGCTTCACTGGCCTTTATCTGTGCCATTTTCCTTCCTGGGTCCTCTCCATGCCATACGGCGCCGCCTCATTCTTTCTAAAGAGCCCCATAATCTACTTGCTGAAGAATCTTCATGGAAATGGGGCACAAAGTAGATCATTCCATCTCAGGCAGTCCTAACAGTACCAGTTAACGTGGGGAAGGAGTTGCATGCCCACAACCCTGGAATGGCCTCGCCGAAGGCCTGAACCTTCCACCCCACAGGTTCCTAAACCACCTGCTTCTCCTGGCAGCAGCCCTGCGTTATTCTTATGTCCACTTGCTATTAATAGAAAAAAAGGATACCATCTAACTCCAGCTTCAGTGTTGACCTGTGTCTCATCTTCTAGAGAAGCCAACACTGGGTTGGTGAAGGTGGGTGTGGGTCATTCTTTGGGGTGGTGCAACTCAGGGGTTTGGTACAGCATAGGCTATCATTTTAGCGACTTTATCCATCGTCTCACATGCTCCCGTATTAACTGAAGCCACTTCCAATTTTTCTTTCATTTGATACACACAGTAAGGCAAATCAGGGTCACTTTCTATGCTTATTCAAATGGAAAAGTCTGAGCTCCATCTTGGGAGGCTTCAGGGGCACTAGAGCCAGAACTGCCTGAGAAGGCATCCAGAGACGAAATGTGAAGATAGAAGGGGTATCCTGCTGGGATGGTAAATGGTAAACAGCTGAGGTTTGGAGACATTCATGTGAGTGCAGCCAAAGGCTGCCAAGTCCCAGTGAACCCCTTCTTAGGTAGCCACAAATACCGGCCTCGGTCATGGCTCTCATTTAGCCCCAGGGTCTGAAGGGCCTCGAGCTAAGAGCATCCACCCAAGGAAAGCGCACACTCTGCTGTTCACCGGTTTGCAACCACCTCATTTTCTTGAAGCCACAAGAACACTGGGTGACCGACATGTACGGCCGGTCACAGTGTTCTCTGTTCCAGTCACACACTCGTTCTGAGTTTACCCTGAACCTGGACTTTTTCAGGCCTGCCTCACAAAGGAGTAATACACACACACACACACACACACACACACACACACACTTACATGCCCTTCCCTCAGCAAGAATGTTTATTTTGTAATTCTATAGGGCAGTGCGATAAGATGCCTTTCATCAATTTATTAATGCTGGGAGTGTATTTCAATTACCGATGTAAGAGCCAGACTTTGTGTACATAACATGAGCACATTATGTTCTTGGACGTATTATGGCTCTCGCCCCTAGAGTCCATCCAAGGGCAGCAGTCTTGGAGGAGGACTTCAGGGAGAGTGCTTACGGAGCTGGCTATGAGCTAAAGCCTGGTGGACCTACTGTGACATCTCTAAGCTTCACTTCGGTTATTCTAACCTTCCCCGAGGTGTTTGTAAAAGCACCAGCCTAGAAGCAACGAGGCCTGACTTCAGCGCCTCGGCTTGCTGTACAGGACTGGCCAAATTGTTTAAACGGTCTGGGCCTCCGTGTTCCCACCTGTAAAACCAGAGAAGCGTTCTGCCTACCCACCACCTCGCCCCCGCACCTGAGAGTCAGACACTCAGTACAAGCAGCCTTCACCTTTGATCAGCCCAGAACAACTGCTGACAGGGCTCTGGCCCCAGCAGTTTATAAAGCTGAGACGCGTCCCTGCCAAAGCGCTTGCTGCCGAAGCTGCCGCCCGCCTGTGTGACACCGCCTGTGGAAACGCTCCAAGTGCCAGAAGGCTGACTCATCCCCGTGAACGTTCTGCCGGTCACTGCCTAACTCTTCTCATCGATGACAGCCGCGACTTCTAGTATTTTTCTGGAGTCAGCTAACCTTTATATGTTATCAGTAATTATTGGTAAGAACCAAGTAAACGGAAAGAGCCTATCTCTGTAAGTGATGGGGATTTCTTCTAGTTCACTTACATTGACTCTGGCGTTTCATGACACAGGCTCTTGTTGTCGGTAAACATTGGTAGAGATGCAAACCCCCTGAGTTGGCCGACCACCTGGCACAGTGAGGGGACACTGAGCTAGGATTAAAGAGAGCTGGATTCTGGTCCTCAGTCCATCAGTGCCTGTGACCCTGGACCTCTGTTTCCTCATTCCAGTGACGAGACTGAACCGGATCCTAGGTCTGTGGTCTTGTGACATCTCTTAGCTCTCACTCAGCTGGAGCGAGGAGCTTTGCAGAGAATTCAGGACTCCCAAGTCCCTTACATTCAGTGACTTCCAATAGAAAGATGTTATTTCATGCACTAATTTACTCTCCTTCAAGCAATGTGTCTTTTGGAAAAGTTGAAGATTAACCAACTTTTTTGTAACTAGAATCACGTTTGAAGAAGAGGTCAGGATGATGAGGAATTTAAGGAACCCTAAATTAAATCATTTCATAAAATGAAGGTTCATTTTGACATGCAAGTAATATTGCAACTTTTTGTAAGATCATGTGAGTCTGTTTGTTTGAAGACAGAACCATATAAGTGTCCCTGAAAAGACTTCTAAGCATCGAATCCTCTTTTCCCTTTGACTCACATTACAACTGCAGACACATTTTACATTCACTTTTTATTTAATTGGCCACGACTTTTAATACTTGAGTTTTGCTTCTAGGTACTCTTTTCTGACCTCCTTGACAAGATTTGTAGAAGCTTAAAGATGGTTCTCCTAAAAGGAATTCTTATGTGAACTTTGAATCTGTCTTATAAGGTTGAACAAAAGCCTTTGGTGACCTTTAGATACTTTGAATTTCTTTAAAAATAGATTCTAAGAAGCCCTTGCTTTTCCTTCTTCTTGCACCATCCCCCAGAGAGCATTCACTACAGATTGCCCATTCTGGGCCCCAGGACAGCTGTCTTCCATGGACTGTTGGCAGATACCTACAAATCTCTGCAGGAGACACAGCTCTCTTCCTTGCCCGGAAAGGAGCCGGTAGGCAAGACAATGAGGCAATGAGTGGTTGGAGCTCATCCTCTTCCAGACTCACCAAGAGAAAACAAGTTAACCAAGCCTGTTTCTGATGCTAGCGCATTCTCATAAATACCCACCTGTCGCCAAAAAGGTGACTCACTTTTGCCTTCTTGGGAGTTGCTAGAATTCTAGCTCTTGGCAATCTTCTTCTCACTTTTCCTAAATACAAGTGGTCTAATTTACAAGATGATAAAGACTTGCTGATTCAAGTGGAACATTTCAAGTGTCATTAGTTTTATTTTTTTAGGATTCATAATTGTGGTGTAATAGACAACACCCTTCTGTTTCTAAGACGTGAATTTCCTGTGAAAATTATTTCAGCTCTTCTTCAGAGCAGAGGGCTGGAGATGGCTCTGGGAAGTCCCTCAGTGGGTTAACCTATTATGAATACATAATGAAAGGGAAACGGAGGTCACCTTTCTGTCCTTATCTCTGTCAGTTAACTGGCAGATGACAAGAGGATACTGTGATGCAATGGGGAAAATGGCAAGTGGTTAGTGGTTGCAACCGTCAAGGACAGGAACCGTGCCTTGTCTTGCCCCGTTCACGTGATGTCATTTAGCGCCCTGTGTGTAATCAGATATTCATCTAATCTTTGCTCCATCGTGTCTAAACCATGTGCTTGTATTTTGTCATTTTGTTACTTTGGTTGGAGAATGTACACCTTCACCTCTGTCTTGGTCCATGTGTCAGCAGTGTGAGGGAGACAGAAGAAAACTCTAGGCTTACAAATATTGTATTTATAGGCACAAGTGGTCCATACCCACCTTCAGGCTCATATATAAAAGGTCCCTTCCCTTCTTTAGGGTACAATAGCCTTGTAGAATCCCCAAATCCTGGCTAAATGGACGCTGGGCCAACATGCGAGAACCAACCTCTGTGCTGACTGTATTTGAAGAACAGCCTTCAGGAATCTTTAACAAATGGCCTGGTACCTAAATTGACCTCATTTCTTATACACACACACAAACCCCCCCAAAACCAGTAAAACTTGATCGATTGCCCTATGTTTCTGGTAGGCTATGATTCTTGGTTTCAGTTCAGTTAGGGTTCAGTAATTCCGGAAGTAATACGCACTTCCTCTCAGAGCACACATGAATCATGATTCCACTTCAGATCATTGCCAAAGGACAGACAAACCATGGATAAAAATGTTTCTTTCTTCTTTTGTAAATGAACATATCCAGTAAAGGGATTTGGGGTATCTGTACCCCTGAATTAGGGAGAAATACATGTCCCAAGCACAATTATTTGGAGTTTTTGAGGTAATTTGAATATTATATGCTTAGTCAGATAGACTGCTTCCTAAGTCTCAAGAAGTCCCCATCTGGAGTACAAGGGTGTTTCCAAAATCTCATCAAGAAGAATAACGTTCTGGTGTTTGCCAGTGTTCTAGTGTGGTGACTGAGAACAATAGTCAATATCAGTGGTTCTTAAACTTTTTCATCGTAGGAAACTTTTACACTCTTAAAGACTGAGAGCCCTAAGTACAATCCCTGTTTCATACACGTAATTCTTGTCTCTCTAGAAAAATGTATCACTTAATGAGGATGAGAATGATATCTCATGCTAACAGCGTATCCCCACAGGAGCCTCCCAGATGCATATTTGAAAGATATTTACAAGAAAAGTCCATTCCCAGTTGCCAAGCAATATGAGAAAATAGGAGCTTGAGTTCCCTGAATTGGGGGCAGTGGTATTAGGTATTAGGAACTTGTTTCCATTGGGGAAATAACACAGAGAGACATAAATGAAGAGCATGTGGATGGGCCAATATGTAAATAAGCATGAGTTACTCTTCACTATAAATCCCCAGTGATACCAACAATAGTATATGACATATAATATGGTGCTCCATAGCACCAGCCATCCAGCTCTCTGGACAAGAACAAAGATGCAATTGTATAACTTTGCTGGAAAAGTTGGTCAGAGAAGAAATAGCCATATTTACCCCCACAGATGTTATCTTTCCCTTGCAAAGTCTTTGGCGAGGCATTTCACTTCCTGGCCAGTAAACTGCAGAATAGCGAAGTTAGGCATTTGCTGGTGTTTGCTGTTTCAAGGAATACTTGTTCCTAAATCCCTTGGGATTGGCTTCTACTTGGTCCTGTGTAACAGAAAGCATCTTATGGGTCACATAGCCAAAGAGTCAGGAAACCCTTGCTTCCTAGACTCTCACATTGAGAAAATTAGGTAAAGAGTAAGGCATGCATGCAACAACAAGATTTTGGCTAACATTAGTTGGCTCTGAGGAGTGGAACTGTATGGCTGGAGCCCAGAAATTGGCAGAGGGAGGAGATATTTCATAGTATTCCTTTATTCTTTGAATAAATAATTTTATTTTTATTTTTTAAATTTCATTTCTCAGGTTATTTATTTTGAGAGAGAGAAAGCATAAGCAGGGAAGGGTCAGAGAGACAGAGAGAGTAAGAGAGAAAATCCCAAGCAGGCTCCACACTGTCTAGCCCAACGCAGGGCTAGAATTCAAGAACCGTGAGATCACGACCTGAGCTAAAATCAAGAGTCAGACACTCAACTGACTGAGCCACCCAGGCGCCCCTATTCTTTGAATTTTAAACCACATGAATGTTTCACTGACTCAAAAACAAAACAAGATGGAACAAGCAAACAAATAAAAACTTTGAAAAGTGACCAGGGCTACCTAGCTTTGGATAAACTATCAATGTAATTATTTGTCTTCGTGAACATGGACAACACAGTGCTTGCAAACGGCAAACGTTAGGCAAGCATCCAGCGCAGATAAATTTTATCTCCAGCCCTTGGAAATTTTGCTATCAAAATGCTAGTACCAGCAAATAGAAACCTTGCTTCAGCTTATGTAGCATTTCAAACTTCTGAAGAACTTTGTCTTGTTTTTCCTCTCTCTTTGTCTCAAATTTACCATTGTTCTCTTAGCGTGAAAGGAGAGCGATGAACGATGAACGGTGCGCACAATGCTCTCCATTTAGCAAAGGCAGTCCTTCCCTGGCATCTTTACAAAAAGTCTTCATTTTATTGTAACAAGTGTACCTGGTTCTTTTTTATGAAGCTGCCTACACAGGGCTAGTCCGTCTTGCACAAAACCCATGAAATATTTGATGGGTTCCTCTGCACCCATGTTCCTCTTAGTCTTTTTTAAACTTCTGATCCTGAGGTTCTTTGGCCAATATGACACGACCCAGCCACCCTCTCTGGACCCACACAGGGCCACTCAAAACAAGGCACTCAGAGTGGAATCTCAAACTCCAGATGCACCTGGCCCGATGTGCCTGAGGGACTCTCAACTCCCCTCGTTCTGGATTATCTGCTTCCAGAAATGCAGACTGACCTGAAATTCATTTTCCTGACAGTTGTGTGACTTCATTCTCACAATGACTTGCCATCAACTAATGCTCTTTTGCCCTTTTGGTGAAAATTGCTGTTCTAACAGCTTTTCTCAGGCTCTTCATTTTTTCAAGCCCGTACACACCACCCTACCTTCTTCTTATTAAGGTTCCTTTAGCCAGATTCCAGCCAGTGACCATCTTGCCAAACCTAGGTTTCAGTGAGTGTTAGTCCTCCCAGTCTTTGTAAGGAACAGGGCCAGGAACCAAGCCCCGTGGAACAATTCTAGAGCCCTCCCTTTGGATCAGAGCTTCCCAAGGGCCTCTTCTTTCATATGTAATTTATCCTGAGGATATTCAAACAGACAGAGAAATAGAATAATACCACAAAGAACACCTATATATCCTCCACCTAGAGTCTGCAGTGGTCAATATTTTGCCACATTCCCTCTATCTACAAATCGCTTTACTGAACCATTTTAAAATAAAGACATCATGACATTTTACCACTGAATAGTTCAGCATGTAGCTCCAAAGTAAAAGAACTTTTAAAAAAATTATTTTTTTTAATTAAAAAAAATTCTCCTTTAAAGGACAGTTTCTGTTATCACACACAACGAAAAGTGAATAATAATTCCTTATTTTTATCTCCACTCAGTCCATATTCAAGTTCCCCAGATTGTTCCCAACATGTCTATTATGGCTGGTCTTCTCAAAGCCAAAAAAAATCAGGGAGGACACTTTGCAGTTGTGCTTGTTTTAATCTAAGCAAACTGTACCCCAACTTTCTTTTTCATGACATTGACCTGCTGCAAAGGCCAAGATAATTGTTTTATAAAAAAATCAAAACCTCTTTAAGTACCACCCCTCTTCACGTTGTTCGTTTCAACTGCTGCTATCAAGTAAAGGCCATTTACTGAGTAATTATTATTTTTTCTTTTTTGTTCATCAAATTTGTATGTCACGACCTATTAGACCTTCTGATAAGTATGAGATAACATTCTTACCATATTGGGTTGATGCAACTGCAGAGATAAACCCAGAATTGTGATATTTTATAACTGTATAATTTTGGTCAAGTTACTTAACTTCTTTGAGTCCTGGTTTCCTGTGCCACATAATGAGGATAAACGTATCTGTCTTAGTAAAAGCAGCACATGTGCTAAAATTAGGACAGAGAGAAGATTAGCGTGGTTCCTGCATGAGAATGACATGCAAATTTGTGAAGTGTCCCATATTTTTTAAGCTAAGCTCATATGTACATTTATTGGAAATTGAAAAATGTCCCTGCATGAGAGTTTTCTAATTTATATTACCACTACAAATGCATGCATGCGCCTATTACTCTCAGCCTCAACGACTGTAATAATTTTTATTTTAAAACTAATTTTAGAGATGAAAAATATCTCTGTGTCGTTGAAATTTTTAGTTCTCTAATTATGAGACTGAACTTGTTTTCATATGCTTAACGGTCCTCATATATATATATTTTTGTGATTGTTTAGCTTTTAAACCCATTTTCTATCATGACCCATTAGTTTTTAAAGAATAAGATGTTTAATTATTCAGATGGCAAAAAAAAAAAAAATCTTATAAGAAATGATACAGTTGTGCTCAAGGTTTTCACTTAGAGTCTCTGACCACAGGAGCAAACACATGTTTTCATTTAACATTTGGAAATCTGATAAACTAACATTTACCAACCTCATACTGGATGCTGATAAAGAGGGTAATCAGATAAGTTTTTACTGTGTTCTCTACTACATGGTCAACACTGTTGGTGAGTTCACATTTTATCTTTACAATAACCCTTCAAAATGGTTAGGGTTATTATCTCCAAATATGAGTGAAGAAATTGGGTCTCACAAAGGCTAAATAACTCACATTTTGGAACTTGAACTTGGGTCTTTCGGAGTATGTAGTCGGAAATTGAACTTGGGTCTTTCTGAGCACATACCAGAAGCTCCTTCCTCTATCCTACTCTGCCTCTGATTGTGAACAGTGTCCATCTCTTGGTCAACACAATATCTAAGATTTCCTATCAACCGATCACCTCAACCTTGTTAGAATTATGTTCAAAATAGCAGTTCTCTCCATGGAATCCTCTACCATCTGAGGGATAAAACTGGCTTCAAACCAAACAAAACCCAGCCTCATCGTGTTGGGTTTTCCCAGAGTGGGAAATGACACGTGCTGGCATCAAACAGAGGCCTTTCTTCTTTTAGCTTGTTAGACATTCAAGGTTACTGGATTGTGTCATGTCTGTGGACTGATAGCGCAGAGAGGAGCAAGAGGAGGTAGGTCCTGGTGTGAAGCTTGCCCACCGGGATAGACAAGGCTTCAAAGGTGGGTGGTAGAGGGTAGGAAGGCAGACTAGACCCAAGAGAGTGGCAAAGGCAGTGAACAAGTCTTATACCTGTCAGCCCTAGAGTTTTGGTCAGCAATTGGAGTCCTAACAAAGTGGAGTGCAGCAGTAGAGAGGGAGGTAGAGATGTGTGTGGAGATGGGGAAAGAGATACTTGGAAATGTCAAGAGCAGGAGTTCAGTATCTTGGAAGCCTGGTCATCTGTGGTAAAGCCCAGTCACGAGACGAGATCTAAGGGGCTGCCTGAGGAAGGGGCTGACCAGAGCAAAACTGGGAAACCCAGGAATTCTCAGTGGAGCCATATCATGATCTCTGGGGGTAGAGAGGTGCATTTAGAAGTTGCATTCAGGGCACCTGGTTGGCTTAGTCGGTTAAATGTTTGACTTCAGCTCAGTTCATGATCTCACAGTTGGTGAGGTTGAGCCCCACATCAGGCTCTCCACTCTCAGTGCAGAGTCTGCTTTGAATCCTCTCCCTCTCTCTCTGCCCCTCCCCCCCTCTCAAAAATAAACATTTATTTATTTATTTTAATATGAAATTTATTGTCAAATTGGTTTCCATACAACACCCAGTGCTCATCCCAACAGGTGCCCTCCTCAATACCCATCACCCACCCTCCCCTCCTTCCCACCCCCCATCAACCCTCAGTTTGTTCTCAGTTTTTAAGAGTCTCTCATGGTTTGGCTCCCTCCCCCTCTAACCTTTTTTTTTTTTCTTCCCCTCCCCATGGACTTCTGTTAAGTTTCTCAGGATCCACATAGGAGTGAAAACATATGGTATCTGTATTTCTCTGTATGGCTTATTTCACTTAGCATAACACTCTCCAGTTCCATCCATGTTGCTACAAAAGGCCATATTTCATTCTTTCTCATTGCCGCGTAGTATTCCGCTGTGTATATAAACCACAATTTCTTTATCCATTCATCCGTTGATGGACATTTATTTAGGCCCTTTCCATAATTTGGCTACTGTTGAAAGTAGGCATAAGTGCCCCTATGCATCAACACTCTTGTATCCCTTGGGTAAATTCCTAGCAGTGCTATTGCTGGGTCATAGGGTAGATCTATTTTTAATTTTCAAATAAAAACATTTAAAAAAATTTTTTTGAAGAAGTTGCATTCAATATTGAAATATTTTGCATATATACACATGCATTTAAAACAAACATAACTACGTTAATAGTAGAAAATAATGAAAGTCAATCTGAATAAAGTCTTTTTAGCTGGTGAGGATGTGCAGAAACTGGACTGTAGCTAAAAACTATTATCTTTTGCATATTAGTGATTATCAGAGGGGCTGTAAAATTTTTATGTTAAAGAGGGCATCAGTTTCAATATTGAGAAACAGAAGAGAAATAGAAGGTGTCCAGTTCTGGGAGCAGGCCTCTGTGCCCCCTAGGGCCATCAGTTAGCCTAGGGCTTTTCTCCATTTGATTTACTTTAATTTAATAAATATTTGCTGAAAACATACCAAGCAACAGGCATCACGTTGGGTGCTGTAGATACAACCCAATTAATATAATCATTTTTTGTCCTTGAGAAGTTTGTGATCTAACTGGACAGTAGAGGTAGGCTGACAGATAATCACAATGACATGTTAGAAGTGCTGTGATGGAGGTATGCACAGGAGAGAGGAAGGGGTCTCTAGCCTGAGCTACAGGGTTTCCTAGAACAATTGTCCATAAGCTAATTTTAAAGAGCCGTTGCTACTGTCTTTAGTGCAAAGGGGCAGCCTCTACAAGGGGATGAACCATAGCGGATACAAGCATGGGCACTGCACTCATGTTGGCGGAGTTCCCTTGGGATGGTACTTCCATCTTGGTACATGATGGTACCAGGGCACAAGAATGGATAAGACGGTACATCCATCAAGATGGTGCTAGTGTACCTACCACGTAGGGTTGCCATAAGGATTAAGTGGAGTGATTATGTACAGCACCTGAGCACATAGCTCTCAGTAAATATTAGTTATTAGCTAGCTGTAAACGTAGTATGACCTGACGGATCTGAAACTGTGCTTGGAATGCTTTTAGTTAGGGTTCTTTCTATGCTTAGAGATTCCCTTCCAAAGCTGGTCTAAGGTTTTCTGTGTTTCCACTTGTAGAATATTACACAAGAGTCAACGGGGATAATGTATTAAGGAGCTGACAAAGAAGTAAGAAATGTGGCAGTGTTGGTTTTAAAAGGAGTTAATGTTTAACAAGAAGGGATCTCAGCCCAACCCAACATTTGCTTTCATTCATTAACTATTTCATTCATTCTTTGAGTTCCTAAAACATACCAGACTCTATGCTTCATGGAAGCCTTACAAAGATGATTTATAGATAATAGTTTTTAGTTAGAACTCACAGTCTAATGAGAGAGACAGATATGCAAACAAAGCGTTACAACACCATATGATAGGTGTAATCATAAAGGCACGTACAAAATACCAGCTATGATATTATGTGGATGTGCAATACTTACTCAGCAGGCTGAAGAAAAACATGACCAGAACTGGGTTTGAGAAACAAACAGCTGAGTGGAAGGAGGAAAGACCAGTTGGAGGGAGACCAGGTAGAGGCTTTTGCAAAAATCCAGGCAAGGTTGGTAAATCTTTTTAACTTCTAGCTGAATATACAGTTGGACCCTATGAAGAGGGACTAGACTGGAGGTTCATTTCTAGGAGTCAACAGTCTGACGGTGGTATTTGAAGCTAATGATATCAGTGAGATAATTCAAGGAGACGGTGTTGTGCTGCAGTGTGTAAAGAGAGGGACCCAAGTGGGTAGGCTTGGAGAATGTCAACAAAGGATTAGAAAGAGAAGGTTGACAATTAAACTGAGAAGAAACCAGGAGAAAGTGTCCCAGAGACCAAGGGCAGAGTTTTAGGAAATAGGAGGTTCCCAAGGGGTGCCAGATAACACAGGGAAGTCCAACAGGAAAGGAGTGAAAAAGAGTTACCAGATATAATTAAGATGCTAGTAAGCTAGTCACAGCACTGGGGGCTCCAGAAGAATTGGGACTGCAGTGAGTTGCAGAAAGAAGGAAGGTTGGTGACGAGGAGCAGAGGCGAGGATGAGAAATAGATACCTCTGATGTGGGAGAGAAAGGAGCCTAGGTGGAGCCAAGCCCATGGGCACCTGAGCATTCTACTGCTTTGTCTCTGAGTTGCTTTTACTATAAGACATTTTGTAAAAAAAAAAAAAAAAAATTACGGTTTAGGAATTTCATGGGCAGCATCTTAAAAATGTATCTTCTTGTGTTGCCTGCAACCTGGCTACTCGCCCCGTGCTCGCTTTTCTCCCTGGCCTCAGCACACCCACACCAGAGGCTCAGGGACCACAAGGAAGACTGAAGAGAAGCCTGCTCTCTAGCTCAGGGCGCTCCTCCAGTATCCTTTCCTCTGCCTGCTCTACTCCTCACACATCAGCTCCTCTCCTTTCTGACCCACTTGCCTTCATATCTTGGCTCCTATTTCTAGCGTCTCTGTACCTCTGCCTGTTTGCTTTGGACCTGTCACTGCGAACGCAGGCCTGAGCCCCTGCATCACCTCTAGCAGGTGCCAACAGTGACCTATATTTGTTAAGCCCCGAGTATAAGTCAGAGACGTGTTTAGGCATTGGAAGACACTGATGTAGAAGAAAGCTAAAATGCCTGCCCTTGCTGGAATTTACAGATAGTAGGGGAGATAAAGAATGAATAAATGATGGGCAAGGGCTCCCAGTCACCTTTCTTTCAGAAAAAGAACTTGCCGCCCCCCCCGCCCCCACAATGAACCATAAGAGTGTAAACTCTTGGATCCCCTCTCCTAGCTGTGCTTAGGACTCTGATGTGCTACCCTAAGGTCCAAGGTCTCACTGGTGTCATAGCACATCCTCAGGCACTCAGGCCTCAAA